GTATGTGGCCAGTTCCCGCACTATGCGTATATAATAATTATTTTTTTTTTTTTATTAAATGATATTTTTTAATAGTTTTAACATCCTTTGAAATTAAATTTTGATAATAGTAGAACTTCTTACCTAGTTTTATATGCAAATACCCGTATAAATTATGGGATTTTTATAAATGTATTATTTAAATTTGAAATAAAAATTAATTTCAATTGTAAGAATGAATTAGAACAGTGGCAAATTAAAAATTTAATTAATTTTGCTAATAAAAAATTGATTAAAGCTTAATTATTAAAGTTTATTTTATTATTTATGTTGCCAATTGACCACACCATAAATGACCAGTACCCATGCAACGCTTATAAATTAGTCAATTAAGCTCAAAATTTTCTTTACGAATTGATATTTTTTAATAGTTTTAACATTTTAATTAAATTGAAATTTGACAACACCGGCATTTATTTCATAGTTTATTATGCAAAAACTTTTACAAATTGCACAATTTTCTTAAATTATGGTATTTAAATTTGGAAAATAAATTAATTACAATTGTAAGAATGAAATAAAACCGTGACAAACAAAGAATTTAATTAATTTTGCTAATAAAATGTTGATTAAAAGTTATTTTTTAAAGTTTTTTGTAATATTTTATGCTGACCAATTGACCACACCGTGACTGACCAGTACCTATGCAACGCTTATAAATTAATCAATCAAGTTCAAATTATCTAATTTTTTTAATGATTTGATTTTTTTTTAATACTTTAACATTTAAATAAAATGAGTTTTTGATATTGCTAGAATTTATTTTATAGTTTAATATACAAAACTCTGACAAATTATTGAATTTTCATAAAATTTGATATTTAAATTTGAAATAAAAATTAATTTGAATTGTAAGAATGAATTAAAAAATATGATAAATTAAAAATTTAATCAATTCCGCTAGTCAAATATTGATTGAAACTTGATTTTTAAAGTTTATTTAGTTATTTATGCTGATCAAATGAGCAACCGTAAATGACCAGTACCTATGAAATGCACACAAATTAATCAATTAAGTACAAAATATCTAACTTTTTTTAATGAATTGATATTTTTTAATAGTTTCAACATTTAATTAAAATCAAAATTGAGAAAACTAGAAATTATTTTCCAGTTTAATATACAAAAACTCTTGCAAATTATAAAATTTTCACCAAAATTGATTTTTAGATTTGAAATAATGCTTAAGCCTAAGCCTAAGTATACCCTAAGCCTAAGCCTAAGTACACCCTAAGCCTAAGCCTAAGCATTATTTTATTATTTAAGATGTCAAATGACAACAATGTATGTAACCAGTTCCCGCACTATGCGTATATAATAATCAATTTTTTTTTATTAAATGATATTTTTAATACTTTTAACATCCTTTGAAATTAAATTTTGATAATAGTAGGACTTCTTACCTAGTTTAGTATGCAAAACACCCGTACAAATTATGGGATTTTTATAAATGTATTATTTAAATTTGAAATATAAATTAATTTCAATTGTAAGAATGAATTAAAATCGTGAAAAATTAAAAATTTAATTAATTTTGCTAATAAAATATTGATTAAAACTTAATTTCTAAAGTTTATTCTATTATTTTTGCTGGTCAAATGACCATGGTGTGTGTGACTAGTATCCATGCAATGCATATAAATTAATCAATTAAGTTCAAAATATCTATTTGTTTTAAGGAGTTGAAATTTTTCAATATTTTACCATTTAATTAAAATAAATTTATGGTATTATTAGAATTTTTTTTATAGTTTAACATGCAAAATTCTAATAAATTATTGTTTTTTCATAAAATTTCCTATTTCCTTTAAGGGTTAGACGGTTGTACTCTAGAGCCTATAATTCAAAAGGTGGAGAAATTGAAAATGGTGCTAAAATATTTCAGTTTTGCAACCACATACCTGAAGTTTATGACGGGGTATCAGAAATTGAGTGCGCTTTTTTGTTTTTTTCTCAAAACAATTTTTTTTGAAAAACTGAGGGACTCTACCAATTATTATTAGGTTCCTTGTATAACCGTACACTTGATAGCATTCTGTCATTCTGTCCGCGTCCCGCGTTGGGTTAACTGATGAGCGTCTTCTAATCCTGCAATATTTTCATTTTCACTGATGGAAAGACCAGTAAACTTGACAATAGTATTGGTGTCAACACTATCAGCCAGCCTTTGTCTTTGCCACTTCAATTTTTCCTTCTTCCATACCTTGCAAGTTTCTTTTCAAGGATAGCTTCCTCTCTGTACAGATTCATTATTCTTTCTTCATACGCTGTTAGGTACTTTTCATCCCAATGAAACTTGTTTAACTCATCATATGCTTAATTTATGATTAATACTTCTCCTGCTATCTTTTTTGAGTTTTTATCTGTTATTTCTTCTGCATACTTAAAGAAAGAAACACCAGCGTTCTACTATGCTTGTTAATTAGTCTACTTTACTTTTAGGAAATTTAGATAGTTCAATGAACACGAATTGAAAATCTTGTAAATCATGCTCACTAGTTTCATCGTCTCTTATGGTATAGCTAGATATATAATTGACTCACTCATCGGGAAATAAAGTGCAGTTTGATATTATAATAAAGAAAATCTTTTGTAAATCCACCAGATAGCCTTGAGAAGCTTTGGCAGTGTAATACTGAGCACATTTTTCAAAGTCCTTGTCACGAGTAAGCTCCATTTCAACCACAAACTTATTACCAACAGAATCGTTGAGAGAACATCAACCATGCTTTGTTTCTCAGAAGCAAATTCAGAATTCATAATGACGCTGATGAATTCTATTTTTTGCATAGTATTAACTTCAGTATACCCTAAAACTTCGCTCAAAAATGGGTAAGAATATTCTTACTTCTTTCGTGCCAAAGATCTTTTTGAAAGTCAGGTCCAGTTTTGGTAAGGAATTTAGAAAAAGCCATAAGAAATTAACTTAATAGTAATACACTATTTTTTGCAAATATTCAACTATATTTTTTAACTTATAATTTTAAGCTTCCTTATAACATTTAAAGTGTAGATGCAAAATATAATTCATCGAAATTTCGAAAAAAGTATAGATAATTGGCTTGAGACGCATTTAACAGCCTTACATTACCATTTTATAGCTCTATAGATCTTAGAAACTCTCTTACAAAATTGCCCCCCAGTAGATGCCAATTTTCTACTGTCCTCTCTTGCACAGTATAAAAACAGCATTTCTTCTGATGCTTTGCTACCTTAATGTATAATATCAAGCTGTGTTACGACTAAAAGCTGTACAACTTGATAAACCTTGCCAATCCTTTATCATGAGATTGAAGTTGTTTATTTATTCTCAATCTGTACAGATTAAGCGTATAACAGGGATGGCTTCGTATTTTTTACCTTTTGCACTATTTACACCTCATGCCTTTATAAATCTTACCTAGATTTCAGATTTTTACCTCTACAAATCGAAACGCAGCGGCAATTTACAGGATTAGAGAGTGAACAATTTCTATATGGAGTTCTTTTGCCTTTAATCTGCTGCTAATTTTGGATATCTCATAAACATAGGGGTAACGTAGAACATTGTTCTAACCACTTAGCATAACTTTGCCACTGCTTAGCTACGGCGGCTCCTCTTTTTTATCTTCGAGCATTGCACTTGGCATAATGCTGTCCTTAGTAGAAATCAGACTATCATATTAAATCTTCGTGAGCGTAATTCTTTTAAAAGACACGCTATAGACTAGTTCCTTTATACTATGCCTTTCCTCTTTCTCCTGAAGTCAAAATCCATAACTTAACTTTAGAAACTTCAAAATAAGATGCGATCTAATACCAGACAATTATTTCATTACATAAAACCTAATCTGCATTATTTCATCACTTATATCTTCAGCTTTAACGATTCTCCTTGTTGGCAGAGGCTTGAGTAACATAATCCATTGTGGTGCAGAGCACAACTTCACCGATAAGCTATTAGTTACTATATTCATAGTTTTAGCCATTTCTCTCAGTGCATTTATTAGATTGTATTTCATTGGGATTGGCAGTGAGAAAGTTATTGCAAAAATAGATGTGACTTATATGGTAATATTACTGATTTGCAACCAAGTTTCTTTGAGAATACAAGTGTTCAAGATGTCATCTCAGCTCAGCACTGTTACTGGTACCTCTGGGCTGCTGCTACTGTAATCAATAATACCAATGCTACCTACTTATTGTCATGACGTCACTTGAGAAGAAAGTGCGCAATTGTGTATGTTTTGCCCAGAATAAGCTAAGTGAGCTTGCATCACTCTTTGACGCTCCAGCTCTTGCCTCTCTTGCTGCTCTTGCAATTACCGAGCGCTGCGCCTGTTGCAGTGCCATTACCCATCCCTGCCACATGCTCCTCCATCGATGACTCTCCTGCTGCACCCTTGCCGACATCTCCTACCTCTGAAGGGCAACGCTCTACCCAGCTGAATATTGCTTGTGCAAAACGTGTACAGTCTTTTTTGCAAGCTGTGTTTATTGAATGTGGAGAAAATAAGCAATTTTTTGTCTTTTTCTGAAATATCTCCAAATTATTTCAATATTCCAGAAAAGGAGAAAGGAACTTTCTTTGAGGGTTGCTTGAATGATGATTGTGCAGAGGAAGGAGTGAATCAAAGGTAATATAATAACTCCAAAATCGATACTTGATACATACGGTGCAGATGTAGTGTGTTATTGGACAGCAGACTGAAGGCTTGGAGTTTATACAGTCAACTCTGAAAACATATCAAAATTGGCAAGTGCCTCGTTACAAAACTTTTCAATGCCAGCAAGTTTGTTTCTAATTCATGGAAAGGTATCCAGCTGAGACATGGATCAATAGATACTGTCTAAACTATATAAAGTTATAGCAACGAATAACTTATTACAATTTGAATACTGTGAAGCTTTGGGTGCAGTAGAAGGATTTTTTTGGAAAGACTTTTGTGACAATCACTTGGAATTAGCAACAAACAACAAGTGCATATGGAGATAAAGTAAGCAGCGAGGCAAAGTTTGACATATGTGTTGAATACTACTTTGCGGTTATTTGCTTTGCACCTTCTCTGCCATACATTACTGAACAAATATATCACCAACTATAGCTGTAATTCTGTGCACAGTCGAATTGGCCGAATAAGGAAGGAGGAGCTTATCTATGATAAGCATTCTGAAGAAATGGGAGATATTCATGTAGATAGATATTAAACCACGTGAGGAAAATAAAAGCAAATGTAAAAGAGGATAAGTTGAATCAGTCGGCGCAGAATGATTTACAGACAGTCCGCAATGCTGAAATGATAGAATGGAGTGAAAACGCACAAGAAGACTTATAACTGATAATGGGAAGTTTATTGTTGGTAGGATATCCTCATGTAACGACATCATGTGGTCGATTTGAGGGTATGGGTGAGTATACTCCTCATACTGTTTCAGGAGGTGAACCAGCAGCGATGGTAGTTGTTGATGTGTGCGTTAGACTTCTTCCTGGTGTGGTAAATAATTCCGGTAGTATTCATTTGTTTCTGCATTAGAATGATTTTCATTACTATTCTTGCTAGCATCTGAAGTTATTGATTTCATAATTATTTGTTCTATTTTTATTTTTTCTACTAGGTTTAGTTCTTTTGATTTTATTATTTCTCTTTTCAACGTTGGAAGACTTATAGACATACCTGCCTTAAGTGAATTTTCCGGTACTGCTATTTTAGCTTTCTTCACTCTACCCTTCTATGATGCCTCTCTCTTTGCTAGTTTTGACACATTCTCCTCTATCTTTTTTAGTAGCTGTATTCAAGGATGGCTTTATCTTTCTGTAAATTCATTAGATTCCTCTTTCTTCATACGCTATTTTATCTTCTTCATTCCAACGGAACTCATCTAACCCATCGTATGCTAGCTTTTACATCTGTTTCAGTGGTATCCTCTGCATTCTTAAAAAAGAAGCGTCAATGCTCTACTATATTTATTAATTGCTCTACTTTACTCCTAGACAATTTAGGTAGTTCAATAAAAATAAATTGAAAATCTTTCAAGTAATAGCCATTGGTTTTTGTATCATGTATATTATGAGTAGATACACAATCAACCTTTTGAGAGAGTAAGTTACAATTGGAAATTACAATAAAGAAAACTTTCTTTAAATCAATGTCTAATTGAGCAAGCCTTAACCGATTTATCTAATTGCCTTAGTAAGCCTTAGCAGCACAAAGTTGAACACGTTTCTTAAAGTCTTTGTTTATAGCGAGCTGCACTTCAATTACACACCTGGTTCCAGTGGCATCCTTGCGAAAACATCAACTATGCTTTGTTTGTCAGAGGTAATTTCAGGATCGATTATAGCGCTTAAGAATTCTACCGCTTGTATAGCATTTATTTCAGTGAATCCTAAAATATCATTGAGAAAGCGAATAAGAATCTTCTTATTCTTTTCAGTGCCAAAGATTTTCTTAAATATTAGGTCAAATTTCAGATCAGGAAATTTTGATAAAGCCATGATACAATAACCTTTAAAACTTTAATATTATATATTACGATACAAAATTTATCAAAAATTTTTTAATATAGTAAAATCGGCATATATATTAACCTGTAGAATGTAGAATGAGACCATTTAATTGAGCAACCAATACTTGATTTCTGGTTAATGGGAGATTTACCAGTTTCTGCAGTAGATTTTATAGCTTGAAATAAATTACTACTCCCTATCTCATAGTTCTGGATTTTCCTTTTTTTGCATCGTTAAAACAGAGATTTAAATTAGCATTAAAGCCAAAAAAGTCAGGAGTATAAACAGCACCATACTCTTTAGCTACTTCCTGTTTACTGTTAATCAGATATGGAAATGTAAACTTATTTTCCTCGGCAAAATTAATCATATTTTCAAAGGAATCTTCTGGGTATTCATTTACATCATTTGGCATTATTGTATTATTGTATTCACCTGATAATCCTTTTTTAACAAATCAATATCACTTACCGAGTTACTAATAACTGATTGTGCGTAAGGACAGTGGTTGCATATAAAGCTTACAATAAAACCATTTTTTCCACAACAATCACTTAATGTATAGTATTTGTTGTCCACCCCAGAAGAGTGAAATTCTTTGCAGTGAAGTCAGAATCTACCTTAGGACTATTCGAGTAACCGTAGCTTAGGGAATATTACAACTTATAATTTGTGATTTTACTTAAATGTCAAACAGTTCTTATGTATAATATTTGCGTCTCCTTTTTTGGTATTACAATTAAAACTTATGTTCATAACTTTTGAAGCAATAGACGGCTCTGGTAAAACAGTACAGTCTGAGTTGCTTGCAAATTATTTTAAGCAAATTCACGATGAAAACAATATGGTATTGACTCGAGAACCAAGCGGCACTGACTTTGCACAAAAGGTAAGAGGACAGCATCGATCCCGTCTCCGAACTCTTGCTACTCATTTCAATGAGATATGAGCATGTTGAAAAAGTAATACTGCCAGCTCTAAAAAAAGGAAAGATAGTGAGTATTGGTGACCGGTTTATCGATTCAATTACTGTATATCAAGGGTACGGACTTGGTGTTGACCTAGAGCTAATGCGAGACCTACACGAGTTAGTAAAAATTAAATACCCAGATAGCACATTTATCCTAGATATTGATATTCAAATTGGGCTGAGCAGATCAAAGCATAGAAACAAATATGAAGAGATGAACATTAGTCTAAGGTTCGAAAAGGATTTCAAGAAATAGCTATAAAGGAGCCTGATAGATATAGTATTATAAATGAAATTGAAGCTAAGGATAACAATCAAGTTCATGTTGAAATTGTCAACAAAGTCACTGCAACAAGGCCGGTTTTGCTAAGAGTAAGGCCAGCTTCAACACGGTTTGTAGAAAATAACCATCTGTTTACACTTAAGTCATTCTCCACACTTAAACCTCCCCTAATTTGCCTTTTCTTTTTTACCTTTTTCAAATAATATCACGATATCTACCCATCGCATCTATTTCACACCTATTTTTCTTACCTCTGATCAAATCCATCAGAACACACACTTACACCAACGTTAACGAACATTTCAGATTCAGAAATACTAAAAAAGGCACATTAGCTTCACCTGCAACTGCACAAGCAAGCATACTTCTACCGAAATCCTTTCGGTATTTCCCCGCCTAACACTTGAAATTCTTATCTCTGCTCTAGAAAATGAACGATTTCTACTAACTCTTCTTCTGCTTCATCAATCCCAGCAACATTATCTAATGTCGCTTTTCTCCACTAGTCATGAGCGTAGCTTTTGATTTGCCAAAGTTTATAGTTCTGTTACCTCCTTTTTGTGTTACCTGTTTGCGTTTCTTTTAAAAGGAACAGCAACGAGCCAATAAAGATAAATGTTGGAATCTATTGGATAAGATAAGTAATCTACCAATTCACTTTTCTGTGATGACAATGTATGTGACCAGTTCCCGCACTATGCATATAAAATATTAAATTAGTTTCTAATTCTCTATTTTTTTAATATGAATTGCTATTTTTTTAATAGTTTTTACACTTAATTAAATTAAAATTTGATAGTCAATCTTACTTTTCTTGCTTTACATGTTTTTGTAACGTTTTGAATTACAGAAAATTGTGACACACTTACACCCACTACTTGTTGTGCATGTTGATCTAGGTTCCATTCTAATCTTCATTGCATCAACACCTGCATCAACATTAATTACGTCAATCTCTTCTCTGACCATAGTTTCACATCTTTCTATACCATCCTTTTTACCAGTACCAACTGCAGCGGCAACTCTGAGCCGCCCTTAAGCATCATTACATGAATTAGGGTATCTATTGTATTTCTTAATATCTTTAACTGTGATCAAATCTATAGAGTAGGTGTTTTCATCTATGACCAAAAGCTTTTCTATTCTATTCTCATGCAATAGTTTCATTGCTGAAGCGCTCCCGTATTGTAACTAACTTCTCTTTTGTCATTACCTCGGGGACTTTTATACTTTTTTCTGATTTTTTTAACCATCAATAAACCTTATATCTCTGTTACTTAAAACTCTGACTAACTTGCATTGATCAACCACAGGAATACCAGAAGCTTTTTCAATAATGAAATTGCTTCTGCAACTGTTTTATCAGGGGAACAACACAGTCTGAAGTAGAGGAGTCAATAGTCAATTGCTTATGTAATCCACTGACTTTTTTTGCTGCTTTCTTTTTGTACTCATGTATGAGAGACACATTGCTTTGGTCGGTGTGGCTCAGTCGGTAGAGCATCAGCTTGTGGTACTGGGTGCGGCTAGTTCGGCTCTGCTCACTCTCTCCAGGAAGATCGTTCCCTGCCTTATGATGAGTACTAAATTAGTGTGCAATTACACAGCCAGCAAAGGCTCCTTGAATAATCCGAGTGGGTGTGGCTCAGTTGGTAGGGCATCAGCTTGTGGCATTGAGTGCGGCTAGCTCGGCTCTGCTCGCTGCCCTCACTTAAAATCTCCTCTGCATTATTATGAGTCTTTAATCAGCCAGCAAAAACTCACTCCCCAAACCATCTAAGTGGGTATGTGCGCCTAGTTCGGTTCTGGTCGCTCTCCCAAATGAAATCTCCCTTGCGCAAAATGATGAGTAGTCCTAAACACAGCAAAAACTCTCTAAATCATCTGAAAATTCCAATAAACGATTGTCAGACATGTTATGTTCAACCTACTGTCTTCATCAGATGTACCTCAACTTCTTGACTAAATTTAACGAAGTTGGTAAGGAATATAGCATTATCGTCAATAAACGCACAGGGCAGTTTATATATCTATTGTCTCTTTATTTAAAAGAAGGTTTTTTGCCATCTTCATCTTCTATACCAAGCTTTTAGTTATTTTGTATATTTGATGCTCAGAAGTAAAATCTATTACTCCTTTAGAATCTAATTCTTCTTTTTGCTTTCGGATAACTAATAGAATATTAAATCTTCAGTAAAGCCAGAAGCAGACGATACACCAATTAGTGCTGCAATTCTTTCTGAAAGTTGGAGAGCAGTGAGCAACATCAGGCGCCGTCTCATGCTTGAACCTATAATTATTTGCTTGCCGTTACGAGTTACTCTAACACAATTTTTTTGCCAATCACTCATCGTGTAATCAGTATAATCAGCACCTGACTAACCAATAACCATGACCAAAGTAATCAAATAACATAAATGCTATATGAGTTTCTTGACAAAATTTTTAAATAGCAGCTGTTCTAATTCCTTTCATATTGAATGAAAATCCACCAAAAAAGACTATGGAAGCTTTTTTTTTTTTCCTTTGTAGCTCACAATGTGCTATGTACTTACTGTTTTCATCAAGCAAAGTAATGCTGTAATCCATGTTATTTTGGTATAGCAACCTGACTATCGTTTACTTGATCAGATCTGCAATTTCCTGCGGACTCTTGGAAATTATAAAATTTTCACCAAAATCAATTTTTAGATTTGAAATAATGCTTAAGCCTAAGCCTAAGTACACCCTAAGCCTAAGCCTAAGCATTTTTTTATTATTTAAAATGTCAAATGACCGCGATGTATGTGACCAGTACTATTCAACGCTTATAAATTAATTAAGTTCAAAATATCTATTTTTTTAATGTTTTGATATTTCTTAATTTTTCAACATTTAATTAAGATTAAATTTGATAATAGTAGGGTTTATTTTCCAGTTTATTATGCAAAAATTCTTACAAATTATAGGATTTTCATAAAAATCAATTTTAAATTTAAATTAAAAATTAGCATTAATTGTAAAAATGAATTACATCTATGACTAATTTTAAAATTTTATTATTTTCACGAGTGAAATTTTAATTCAAAACTCAATTCTTAAAGTTTATTTAATTATTTATGCTGATCAAATGACCACAATGTATGTGACCAGTACCTGTGCAATGCAAACAAATTAATCAATTAAGTTCAAATTATCTAATTTTTTAAATGATTCGATTTTTTTTAATATTTCAACATTTAATTAAAATGATTCTTTGATATTGCTAGAATTTATTTTATAGTTTAATATACAAAATCCTAACAAATTATTGAATTTTCATAAAATTTGAAATAAGAATTGATTTCAATTGTAAGAATGAATCAAAACCGTGATAAATTAAAAATTTTAGTTAATTTTGCCTATCAAATATTAATTAAAACTTAATTATTAAAGTTTATTTTATTATTAATGTTTGTCAAATGACCACACCGTAAATAACTAGTACTATGGAACGCTTATAAATTAATCAGTTAAGCTCAAATTATCTATTTTTTTTTTTAAACAATTGATATTTATAATATTTTAACATTTAATTAAAATAAATTTTGACAACACAGGGATTCATTTTACTTTTTAATATACAAAACTCTAATAAATCATTAAATTTTCACAGAATTTGATATTTAAATTTGAAATAAAAATTAATTTGAATTGTAAGGATGAATTAAAACCGTGATAAATTAAAAATTTAATCAATTTCGCTGGTCGAATATTGATTGAAACTTAATTTTTAAAGTTTATTTAGTTATTTATGCTGATCAAATGAGCAACCGTAGATGATACAAATAAATCAATTAAGCTCAAAATATCTAACTTTTTTTAATGAATAATATATTTTTTAACAGTTTTAACATTTAATTAAAGTAAAATTTGATATTACTAGAAATTATAGAAAAAAGTCTAATATACAAAAAAGGTTTTGATTCATTGCAAATCATAAAACTTTCATAAAATTCTATCTTAAGCTTTCAAACAAAAATTAATTTTAGCTGCAGAAATGAATTAAATCTACGACAAATTAAAAATTTTATTAATTTTGCTTCTCAAATATTAAAAAAAGCTTAGTTATTGAAATTTATGTTGTCAATTGACCACACCGTAACTGACCGTTATCCATGCAATGCATAAATTTAATCAATTGACTTCAAAATAACTATTTTTTTTTAATGAATTGATATTTCTTAATAGTTTTAACATTTAATTAAAATCAAAATTGATAAAACTAGAAATTATTTCCTCGTTTAAGATACAAAAACTCTTGGAAATTAAAAAAATTTTCACCATAATCAATTTTTAGATTTGAAAAAATGCTTAAGCCTAAGCCTAAGCATTATTTTATTATTTAAAATGTCAAATGACCACAATGTATGTGACCAGTTCCCGCACTATGCGTATATAATAATCATTTTTTTTTTTTTTTTATTAAATGATATTTTTTAATACTTTAACATCCTTTGAAATTAAATTTTGATAATAGTAGGACTTCTTACCTAATTTAATATGCAAATACCCGTACAAATTATGGGATTTTTATAAATGTATTATTTAAATTTGAAACATAAATTAATTTTAATTGTAAGAATGAAATAAAATCGTGAAAAATTAAAAATTTAATTAATTTTGCTAATAAAATATTGATTGAAACTTAATTTCTAAAGTTTATTTTATTATATTTGCTGGTCAAATGACCATGGTGTGTGTGACCAGTATCCATGCAATGCATACAAATTAATCAATTAAGTTCAAAATATCTATTTGTTTTAAGGAATTGAAATTTTTCAATATTTTATCATTTAATTGAAGTAAATTTTTGGTATTATTAGAATTTATTTTATAGTTTAACATGCAAAATTCTAATAAATTATTGTTTTTTCATAAAATTTAAATTTTAAATAAAGATTAATTGTAATTGTGAGAATGAATTAAAACCGTCAAAAATTAAAAATTTAAATAATTTTGCTAATCAAATATTGATTAAAACATAATTATAAAAGTTTATTTAAATATTTATGCTGGTCAAATGACCACAATGTATGCGACCAGTACCTATGCAATGCACACAAATTAA